GTTGTGACACGTAAACTTCTTCCTATAATGGACCGTTCAGAAATGCTGACTTCACATCCAGGTGCATTAAAGGCCAGTTTCTGTTTACAGCTAAAGCAATCACCAGTCTGATTGTTTCATGCCTAGCTACAGGTGCAAACACCTCAAAATAATCTAGCCCAGGTTTCTGAAGAAAACCTCTAGCTACTAGTCTAGCTTTGTTCTTGCCAATGGAACCATCTGGCTTAAGTTCAACTTAAAAACCCATCTGACGCTGATGGCTTTTTTCTTATCTGGAAGTTTAGTCAATTTCCAAGTTTTGTTCCTTTCTATTGCCTCAAGTTCTTCTTTCATGGCATTAAGCCATTCTTTCTTCTTGAGAGCTTCTTCAATGCCCACTGGTTCAGAATCTACTAACATGGCACATTGAATGATTTCTCCTTCAGAGTCAACGTCATTATCCTGCAGCATGTCAAAATCTGCAAACCTTCTGGGTTTTTGTCTGATTCTCTGTGGTCTTTGAGCTTGTTCTGAAGCTACACCAGAACTACTACTTTCAGAGTTACCACCTTCAGAGTTTTACCTTCAGAACTATGATTACCACCAGATTCTGGGTCATCATCAGTATCTCGATCATCTTCTTCTAACTCATCTTCAGAATCTTCAGGATCTTCAGAATCAGATTCATCTTCTGATCTTTCTAAAACATCTTCAGAGGATAACTCTGGTGTTGGCACTACACCAGAATCAGATTGAGATTTGTTCCAATCCCATGCTTCAGACTCTTTCACCACAACGTCTCTGCTGACTTCAACTTTATTAGTTTCTGGACAATAAAGCTTATACGCACTTGTACTGTGGTACCCCACCAGCAACATTATTTTGCTTCTATCATCCAGTTTTTGTCTTCTAGCTTCTGGAACGTGTTTGTAACTGACAGAGCCAAACACCTTCAGATGACTGACACTCTGCTTATCTCCAGTCCATTTCTCTAAAGGAACAGCTTCCTTCAGTTTCTTCGTTGGACACCTGTTCAGAATGTATGCTGATGTGGCAACAGCTTCTCCCCATAGCACGTGAGGTAGCTTTTTCTCTTTCAGCATGCTTCTGGTCATATCAAGCAGAGTTCTGTTTCTTCTTTCAGCAAGACCGTTGTGCTGAGGAGTATATGGAGCAGTAACCTCATGTTCTATTCCACTTTCCTCACAAAACTTCTGAAACACTGCAGAGTTATACTCACCTCCACCATATGTTCTCATAATTTTTAACTTCTGACCACTCTGCTTCTCAGCCTTCACCTTGAATTTTTGGAACTCAGTAAGCACTTCATGCTTGAACTTGATAAGTGTTACCCATGTCATTCTTGTGAACTCATCCACAAAATACACAAAGTAATTGTTTCCTCTAAGTGAAGGTACTGGAAATGGTCCACACACATCAGAATGTACTACTCCCAGAGCATGTTTCGCTCTGGGGGCTACTTCTTATGTAAATGGCAATCTAGGTTGCTTACCTTTCATGCATATCTCACATGACTTCTCAGGCTTCACAATTTTCGAAATACCACGTACGAGCTTCTTAGAACATAGATGCCCTAAGCTTCTATAGTTTAAGTGCCCTAACCTCTTATGCCACAGCTTACTGTTACTTTCAGCACCTTCTGCACTAAGGCATGTTGCTTCAGCTGTTTCTACATTCACCTTGAATGTTCTGTTGCCTCCTTGTTCAGATTTCATAATTAACTTCTGATTGGAATCATACAACGTCAGAAGATTGTTTTTCATAACAACTAAAAAGCCTTTCTCAATCAGCTGACCTACGCTCATCAGATTGCTTCTAATACCAGGAACATACCAGACGTCTTTGATCAGAATGTCTTTCCCATTCTTCACTCTAATTCTGACATCTCCCATACCTTCTGCATTAAGATACTTATCGTTAGCACATCCGATCTTTGTACTCCTTCTGGAGTCAAAGTCTGTCAGCCATTGTTTGTTTCCAGTTAAATGATTTGAGCAGCCAGTGTCCATATACCACCAATCTTCTGAGCATTTTCCATCAGATTCAGAGGCCATTAGCAGTACAGGTTCATCATCATAGTTTCTCTTAGCCATATATGCTTCTTCTGATTTCCTATCCCTGTTTGACCTACAATCTCTGGCAAAATGGCCCAATTGTTTACAGGAGTAACATTGAACCTTCCTTTTGTCATACCTCTCTTTTCCTTTATGATACTTCTTATCATCAGAAGTTGAGGCTTCTGACTTTTGGAATCTATCACCACGTCTATTCTGCTTCTGGTCTTTCTTGACAAAAGAAGCCTTCAGAACTTGCTCAGCTTCTCTCTCAGAAGTTCTCTCAGACAGACGTAACTCCTGTGCTTCTAAGCTGCTTTGTAATTCTTCTATTTTCATGGTTTCCAGATTTTTATAATGTTCAATAGAAACAACAATGTAATCAAACTGAGGAGTGAGCGACCTCAGAATCTTCTTTATGATTACCTGTTCAGTCAGAGTTTCTCCACACGCCTTCATCTCGTTAGTGATCAGAATCCTCTGGAGATATATTCAGAAACTTTCTCACTGCTCTTCATGTTCAGGTTCTCATATTGCTTTCGTAGGGATTGAAGCTTCACCTTCTTTACTGATGCGTCACCACCGTAACATCTCGTCAGTAAATCCCACACCCCTTTAGACGTTGTTGAATCAACAATCTTCTCGAACACATTTTCATCCACACACTGATGGATATAGAACAGAGCTTTCTGGTCCCTCTTTCTCATCAACCTCTCAACAGTTCTTTGTTCTTCAGTTGCATCTGTTGCATCTGTTGCAGCTGGTACATAACCATATGTAACCAGATCCAGAACATCTTGTGCACCGAACAGTACACGCATTTGTATCATCCATCTGTTTTAGTTTTTGCCATTAAAAACTGAAAGTTTAGTGTTCAAACTACCGTCTCCACTCATTTTAAACCTTGCACGGATTTTCAAATCTTAAACACATTGTTTCCCAACCCACAGAATCAAAATTCTGTTCAGAATTTTGTTCAAGATTTCAATAGAAAATCAAAGAACAAAACTCAAACACACAGCTCACAACCACTCGTGTTTCCCAGAAAAAACAGAACCAAAAACTCTAGATACCAATTTGTTGGTGCAAGGTAATGGAAGGAGAGATAAAGAATGAATACTGAATGATAACAAAAAGGACTACTTCTTAATATTCAAATAGAGGAATGAATTTGGGATACAATATTGATAGCCTAGGTATCATATTTATACTAGAAATGAAAAATGCCAAAAGACCCTAATAAAGAGTAAGTATTGGAAATTGTGGATATTAAATAAATTACATTTTTAATAAATTCATCATAAGTAGTGTTGTAATTTTGTATTTTTTTAATATTCGGATTGAGTACCCTTGTGCACGCATTAATACAATCACTTACTTAATACAATCACTTGCTTATAAAAAGAATTAAAGTTTTTCAATCATTCAACTTCTTGACTTGTTATATCAAGAGCAATGAGCTTTGATTCCATTTTGGAACATGCTATACACGTTTTCTTGTAATACTTCTACGATATGGTCACTTGTGAAACCCATAATTAAAAAAAATAAAAAAAGATTTATTAAAAATCAAAATTTTTAATTTTAATAATTTTAATATTTAATTAAATATAAAGAATGTCGAATGAAATAATTAGATTTATTTTGCTGTGTTTATGATAATTAATCTTTATTTTTTATTTTTCTCTTATTATTTTATTCTTGTGTTTCTCATTTTTTTATATTATTTTTATATAATAATAATAATATTTCTTTATGATATTAATTTTTATGATATTAATGAAAAGTAAAAAATTTAAAAACATAAATAAAATGACAGTCTGTGTTAGTTTTCATTTTCAGTTTAAAGAAAGATATCATGGAACTCAAATAATTCACTTAAATATCGAATACATTTAAATAGATTTGAGGTTGAATCATATCTTTTTTTTTTTTCTTATCTTTCAGTTTCAGTCAAAAAAACTGTCAAAAAGTTAAAGTAAAAAAAATATTTTGTTAAAAAAATGAAGAATTGTCTTTTTTTTTTTTTTCCATACTAAAGACCTCTTTTGTTCTAATGATTATTCGGAAAGAATGAATTGAGTTCTTATAGACATTTTGGATGCCGCTATTGAAATCGCCTTTCTAGATAAAATATCTGTAACACCTCCCATTTCATAAAGTATTTTGTCGGGTTTAACGACAACTACCCAATATTCGGGCGATCCTTTTCCCGAACTCATATCCATTTCGGTAGGTCTTATTGTAACAGGTTTGTCTGAAAATATGCATACCCATATTTGTCCATCCCGACGAACATTTTGTGGCATTACCTATCGACCCGCTTCTAATTGTCTAGATGTGATCCAAGCAGACTCAAATGCTTGAAGAGCATATTTTCCAAAGCAAATTTTACTATCACAAGAGACTTTTCTTTTCATTCTTTGCGTAATTTCATTCTCCGTAGATTATAGTTGATAATTATTTCTCAATTCAACCTCTATTACCATAAATTCAATTTTCTTCACGAAACTTTCTAACACAATAGAAAAGTCAAATAAATCTTACCCTTAAATTGACTAGATTCGACTTATTCCTACCCCTAAATGAAAACCACACCATTATTAAGTAAATATTTTTTAAAAAGTCTTATATTATCTTGACAATTTTATTATATTTTTAACATGTAAAACACTTCTAAATCAATTATTTTAAAATGAAGAGAAAATTAACAACTTTTTATAGAGAGTAGAAATTCAGTCCTTAACAACCATTGGATATGAAACCATTATTTCACAAGCTTACAAAAAATCCAACTGGAACGTTATCAATATCACATCCCTTCCACCCAATCAGATTTCCACATGATTGAACTTCACAAAACCTCGTCTTTATAAATGGACCTTCTCATCCTATAATTCAACATCAAAACACACAAAACAACACATTAGTGTACACTTCATAACAATGGCTTCCAACAAGCTTAGTGCACTCATTGTATTGTTTTCTCTTCTTTCTTATACCACATTTTCACATGCTTGTGGTTCATGCAAACCACCTACACCTGAGGCTAGCCCACCTCCTTCAAAATCTCAAAAATGTCCAAGGGACACCTTAAAGCTAGGTGTTTGTGCTGATGTTCTAGGACTTGTTAATGTTGCTCTTGGATCACCTGCTTCAAGCAAGTGTTGTGCATTGATTCAAGGTTTGGCTGATTTAGATGCAGCACTTTGTCTTTGCACTGCTATTAAGGCTGATGTTCTTGGTATCAACTTGAATGTTCCTATCACACTCAGTCTCTTACTTAGTGCTTGTCAAAAATCTGTTCCTTCTGGATTCCAATGCTCGTAAGTTCAAGCTATACTAGTACTGCATGCATTGGAACTATAATAATTTTAACGAAATCACAGTGACATTGTAACAGATCACGGTGTCACTGAGATTATGTTAAATTTATAATCAATTCAAATATGAAGTAGTACTATATTATAACTTGTGTGGGATGTGTGTCACTGTAATAGTGGGGTAAGTCTTATTTTACAAACTTTTTTATGTTGATTTGATGATTCTGCTTGTCATGCAATGCATGGATTATTATAATTTTTATTTTGGATTTATAATATTGGAGTTGTGAAAATTGGATTTGAGTATCTATGATGCTTAATTAGTGGAATTGAATTGTATTATTGCTAAACCATATGAGTATTAATTTTGGTGCACACTATTGAACATTATCAATCACGTGAAGGCTGTATTATGATTTTGTATGGACCACACGTTGTCTTGCATGTTGTCATTTACAAAAGTGCACTATCACACTCACATGTATATTATATTAAGTACGAGGATTTCTTAACCCGCACCATATATATATATATATATATATATATATATATATATATATATATATATATATATATATATATATATATATATATATATATATATATATATATATATATATATATATATATATATATATATATATATATATATATATATATATATATATATATATGTAATTTTGAATTTATCTCTAAAAGTTAGAAATATATTTTTGGTTCGCACCACATTGTGGGATGGAAAAAATAATATGAGAAATATATTTTCGGTTAATAATTGGAAATTTGTTTCCGATTCTACTAGAGGAAAGATTGAACTCTATTGTCACCTTGACATCTATATAATATATTAAATCTAATGCATTAATTATAACGGTTACATATCATCAAATATAATTTTAAAATTTGTGTTACAATTTGTCACATTATTATATAGTCTTATGTGACACATTTTAAAATTCATTTTCATTATATACTTCTACAAATTGGAGGTCATGGGTTCGAATTCTCGCAAAGACCGAATAAAATATTATTTTGAATAAGTTGATCTAACAAACCAATCATTAATCCAACATGTATATTCCCTTAAATTAAAAATATTTTCTCATGTTTCAAATAAAAAAGAGATGTGAAAATTCAAATACAATAACATATTTTTTGTTTTCCTGAAATTATAGCAATAAAAGTAACACTTGAAATAAATATTTTTAATCTTAAAGTAGTTCTTACATAATTTTCAAGTATAAATCATTTTAAACTTATTTAAATATAATATAGTATGCAACAATTTTTTATAGTGTCTATATACTTTACTTCAATTATTTTAATATAATATCAAATATTAAACTAATGACAAATAATAAAACACTATAAAAAAGAGATAATTGAATTCAAACACAATAAAATTTTTTTATCTTATTTTGGATAAAATACACATCATCAAACATAATTTTAAAATTTGTCTTAAAATTTGCCACATCATCATGTAGTTTCATGTGACACATTCTAAAATTCATTTTGATTATATACTTCTATAAATTGGAGGTCATAGGTTCGAACCATCGCAAAGACGGAATTTAATATTATTTTGAATAAATTAGTCTAACAAACCAATCCAACCATGTACATTCCCTTAAATTAAAAATATTTTCTCATATTTCAAATAAAAAAAGTGATGTGGAAATTCAAATACAATAACATATTTTTTGTTTTCTTGAAATTATAGCAATAAAAGTAACACTTTAAATAAATATTTTTAATCTTAAAGTAAGTCTTAAATAATTTTCAAGTATAAATCATTTTAAATTTATTTAAAATATAATATATTATGCAACAATTTTTTATGGTGTCTATATACTTTACTTTAATTTTTTTATATAAAATCAAGTAATAAACTAATGAAAAATAACAAAATACTATAAAAAAGAGATAATTGAATTCGAACACAATAAAATATTTTTATCTTATTTTGGAGAAAATGGTGTAACAATTCAATCATTACTCCAACTATGTATATATATTTCCTTATATTAAGAATATTTAATCTATATCTATATCCTATATAATATATTAAATCAAATGCATCAATTATAACTCTTGCACATCATCAAATATAATTCTAAAATTTATTTTAAAATTTGCCACATCATCATGTAGTCCTATGTGACACATTTCAAAACTCATTTTCATTATATACTTCTACAAATGGGAGGCCACGGGTTCGAACCCTAGTAAAGACTGAATAAAATATTATTTTGAATAAATTAATCTAACAAATCAATCATTAATCCAACCATGTATATTCCCTAAAATTAAAAATATTCTCTCATATTTCAAATATAAAAGAGATGTGGAAATTCAAATACAATAAAATATTTTTTGTCTTCCTGAAATTATAGCAATAAAAGTAACACTTGAAATAAATATTTTTAATCTTAAAGTAGTTCTTACATGATTTTCAAGTATAAATCACTTTAAACTTATTTAAAATATAATATAATATGCAATAATTTTTTATGGTGTCTATATACTTTATTTTTTAAATTTTTTATATAATAACAAATAACAAATAACAAAATACTATAAAAAGAGATAAGTGAATTCAAACACAATACAATGTTTTTATCTTATTTTGAACAAAATGGTGTAACAACTCAATCATTACTCTAACTATGTATATTCTTTTATATTAAGAATATTTATTTCAAATTTAAAAAATAAAAGAGATGTCAAAATTCAAACACAATAAAATATTTTTTGTTTTCCTAAAATTATAGTAATAAAAATAACACTTGAAACAATATTTTTAATCTTAAAATAGTTCTTACACAATTTTCAAATATAAGTCACTTTAAATTAATCTTAAAAAAAAAAATAGTATACAACAATCTTATAAAGTTCAACAAAATAGACATAAATTTTATAAAATTAGTGAAAGTTTTATTTGATAATAATTATTAATAAATATTTAATTTTGTTTAACACAAAAAATAAATACATTATTTAACAAGTTAAAGTAAAATATCTAAATAAAAGATAAGTGTAAAAAAACATGAGAATCAAAACAAAACAAAACAAAAACCACTTTATAGATATGTAAGTTTGCAAACCTAAATTACGGATATCACTATCAATTTATATGCATGTATTTTTTTCTAATAAAAATTATATTTGTCTATGTAATTAATTTATATTATTGTCTCTGTTATAATTCAGAAAAATGAAGAAGCAAACTCTTAATATATTTGTCTATTATTTGTCTATGTAATTTGTAATATAAATTTAGTAATCATATTTTATCAAAATCAACTCTTAATATATTTAAAATTCAATAAAAAATGAAGAAGTTAATTTGCCACCGCGCATCGCGCGGGTCTTAATCTAGTTTCATATAGAACCGAAAGTATACTTCTAATTTTGTGAAACATATAGTTTATTTAAAACATCAACCACTATGCTCAAGCTTGATCAACACCATTTCTTCTTTCTTCTCTAAAAACCTCTCAAAAACCCTCATCATTCTCAATCTATTTTCTACTCCAAATCATCATTTTTATGGTTCATCATATCAGAAAGAGCTCAAGGAGGAAGATTCATGTAAAGTTTAATCATTTCATCTCTCATTCCTTATATTGATCTGCTCTTTTCTGCACAAAAAGATTACGTACAAACCAAAAGTATACTTTCGGTTGTTAGTTGAAAAAAACCGGAAGTTAACTTTTGGTTTCTGTCTGTGTTTTATTTGACAGCAATCTGTCATCTAAATGTTATTAAATTTTGTGTTTTATCTGACATTATGTATGGTGCACCCTGATAACAATCCAAAACCTGATGTGTCTCAAGTTATTTCGGCTATCGTGTTTCTCCTCTCGCAAATAAGATGGTAGATATTTGGGAGCAATTTGAAAATGTTGAAGAATTTGAATCACGTGAAGACATGTTACAGTGGATTCGTATAGAGGCTACTAAACTAGGATTTGGTGTTGTGATTGGAAGGTCCGATAATGGTACGGATAGAAGAAATGCATTTGTGATTTTGACATGCGAAATAAGTGGGAAATACATACCGCGTATCCAAAACTTCAAACGCGACGACACCGGTTCAAGAAAATGTGAATGTCCATTTTGGTTGCGTGGTTATCTTATGGAAAATAAGAAATAGAAATTTAATGTGTTATGTGGTTTACACAATCATGATTTAAGTCAAAAGTTAGTCGGTCATCCAATTACATGTCAGCTTCTTCTGGTAAGAAGACATGTGTTTCTGATATGATTTTGAATTTGGTACTGTCCAAAAACATACTTGAACCCTTGAAGCGCAAAAGACCCGAGAACACATCAAATATCAAACAAGTTTAAAATAAGCGCTATCAAACCAAAATAGCGCTTAGGGAGGATCGATCCGAGATGCAACACCTCTTGAAACTTCTAGATGAAAACAATTATGTTTGTAGGCACCGGCAAGGTGATGGTGGGGTAACAGTAAGAGATATTTATTGGACTCATCTTGATTCCATTAAATTGTTCAATATGTTTCTCACCGTTCTCATAATTGATTCAACATATAAGACCAACAAGTTCAGACTTCCATTGTTGGAAATTGTTGGTGTTACGTCGACTGAGAAGACGTATTATGTTGGTTTTGCATTTCTAGAGTGCGAAAAAGAGGACAACTTTGCATGGGCTTTAGAGGTTTGTAGGTCAATGTTGAAGGATCAAGAAGATATTCCGAAAGTCATTGTTATCGATCGAGATACAACATTAATGAATTCGGTTGCAACTGTATTTCCCACTTCTTACGCATTACTTTGTAGGTACCATATTACTAAAAATGTGAGAAGTTGGGTTAAACCCGTAGTGGGGACAAAATAGGTTGCAGGGGAAGATGGTAAATTGATCAAATCAGGTGTCATTGTGGAGAAAATCATGGATGCATGGAATGTTATCATAGATTCGTCACCAAAAGAGATATACATGTATGTTGTTTTACAGTTCAAGAATGTTTGCGTA